TAGCTGCTATCTATCCCAACAGACTAGATTATTATGTTCTTATGTTCACATACTGCTTATTTACAGGATATATTTATTTTAAAAGCATGACCAAATACATCTATATACTGTGTATAATACATACACAGTACTAACCCATCAGATAACCCATCAGTCTCTATCAGTTGTTGTACAGTGGAATCCATTCCTGCTGGTGAAATACAAATTACACTTCTGTTTCTTGTTCTCACTTCAGGTGGTGACATGGCAGTATTTGTTGTACACTCCTGCTCTTATGTGTGCCTATCTGATATTCTGTTACACACACTCAAATTGCTGTTTACAGTTTCACTACATCTGTCTGAATGGTAAACAGTGTTTAAGCTGTTGTGAAATGCAGCTTTTCCACGTCTGTCAACCTTGCAGAAGGGAGACTGGGAGCTCATTGCTGTTGCTGCTTGATGAAGAACAATGTTATTAGGATCCCCTGCTACTGTCTGATTTATGTTTTTAATTTCTGTAGCAACAAGAAAATTTGGATAATTATTTTAATGTTTTTTTTACCCTTCTGTTCCATTAGTTGAATTGTCTTCCTCTTGAGTCAATGTGAGCTAGGAGAGGCAGTATAATCAGACAGGCTGTCTATGTGTCTGCTTCTGTGTTTTTTTCTGTTCTGTTTTCACTCTGCCCAAACTCACCTTCAGTCTGTGTGTGGGGAAGCTCAACACATTGTGATTCTTAAGCTGACAGCGTCTCTGGCATCTCTGTGTTCTGATCCCCGTACCAGTCCTTTGCTCCTCTCTCATGCTAGAACAATCTCATGCTGTTCACCATTCTGTGCCCTCTCTCCCTCTCTGTCTCACCCTTCTTCTGCCTCTCTGCTCTGCCAGTGCCAGGTGACATGGGGGCAACTTCCTACCTTTCTCGATCCCCGTTGCTCTGTGCCCTGACTCTCTCGCTTTCTCCAGGTGAGCCAGGGCAATGTGCCGGGCATCGAGAGTGCATCGCTGGCGATGGACACAGAGGAGGGGGTGGAAGTGGTGTGGAATGAGGTGCAGTTCTCCGACAAGAAGGTCTTCAAGGCCCTGGAGGTACAGTGTCTGAGCCTCCTAGTGGGCAAAACTCCTGGAACAAATTAATTCTGTTGTTTTGACTGAATGACATTTGTACTTTGCCCAGACATTAAAATTGTTCCCACCAAAAGTCTTCTGCCCCACGATATAACTATCAGCCTTCTGCTTGCCTGCCAAAGGCATGAGGCCCGACTACCAGATGCAGGTAGGATGTTCAGGTGTGTTATCTGTGTTTCATTAGTACCGTGTAAGTGACTGGGTGCTTTATAGCATGCGCTGAACTTAGTCTATGGTGCAGATTGACCCCCTCCTTTTAGTTTCTGTCTCTTTATCTCTGTTTCTGCTTGTATTGTTTGTTTTCAGGACAAAATTAAAGAGATGTTTGAGAACCTGATGCAGGTAGAGCACCCCAACATAGTCAAGTTCCATAAGTATTGGCTGGACATGAGAGAGAGCGGTGCCAGGGTGAGTGTGAAAACCACCTACACCGAGACACACACACAAACACCTCCACTCTCGCCTGCTGCTGTCTTTGTGCCACTGAAGTAGGGAATGCCTTCTAATCTGAGGGGTTAAATGTTGCAAATTGTACACCCAGTCAATTAAATACCTAACCCCCTCTTTTACTCCCAGTTACTAAATTTTGAAGTACACTAAAAACATAAGAAAGTTAACACAAGGAAGAGGTCTTTCCGTCCATCTAGCTTCTTACATATTTAGTAACTAATTTCTGTTTCTTGAAGGATGCCAGGCTTCAACAACAAGACTGGGCATCGTGTTCCAGACTCCCACAATCTTTTTCCAGACTTCCACATCTCAATTTGCTTAATTTACCAGCATATATGTTCAGCAGCTGTGCTCCTCTAAAGCTGGCTCATGTCATATCTCCTCAGTGAAAAAAGGCTTGACTTGGCTACAGCTAGGATAGGTACCACTGCAACCAGTAGGTGGTTCCCAGTGCCTTCACTCAGTGGCACTTTTTCATCTGCTCCTGGACGTGAGAGAAAGTCATGCCAAGTACAAGTCAGTGGTTTAACATAGTTACAGGAAAAACTGTGCTGTAGAAGGTGCTGTGCTTTGGGCGAGACATTACTCAGTCTGCTTGTGGTTCTTGAATATCCATGACACTATCTGCAAGACTAGCACTTAGAATATTGTTTTGCTTTTAAAAAAAGGGAGAGACAAGGGGAAAAGGGGCAGTCAAGCTCTCATCAGTGTACTGCTGTTCATGATTTAAACCTGATTGGCTGCCTAGTTGGGTTGCACTCATGCGTCACTCAGCAGTGGAGCACATAGATGATGATAATAATACCTCCTCAAAGTAAAGAACTTAGGGTTCCTTGTTCATGAAGAGCTCCAAGCAAAAGAGAGTAGATTAAGTGAAACCCCCATGTTTGCGCTAGGTGACTGCTGGTGTGCACATACTGTACTTCTTTGCTCAGTGATCCTACATGGTGTGTATTAGCATGTCTTTTCCCTTATGTGTCTCTAATCTTTGTTACTGATATTTGTTTCTCTCTCTTTTTGCAGGTGATTTTCATCACAGAGTACATGTCTTCAGGGAGTCTCAAGCAATTCTTGAAGAAAACCAAGAAAAACCATAAGACTATGAATGTGAAAGTAAATACCTCTTTGGTTTTCTTTCAGATTTTAAAAAAGGCTGTTTGATTGTTTCTCAGGTGGAACCATACATTCTGTATTATTACATGTAGACATGGCTTTTCATCCTAAATGAAATCGACAGGACTCTAATTTTTTTCTAATTTTAATTCCTAGTTTAGAAATATCTGATGATGCTTCTGATTTTTATTCCACTTTAGCTTTTAAATCATGAAGTGATCATTGATTTGCCAAGTTTGACTCATTGAACATTTTTCTTGGATAATAAGAAGTTAACCCTTTATGGCCTCTCAGGAAATTGCCAGCAATAAAATTTTATTTGGACTGTGTCCCCCAGTCGTAAGAGACTGAGACACAGGAGCAGACCCATCTCTTTCCCACCTTCCCCCCTTGTGTTAATTGTTAATTGTTAATTGTTAATTTAATTGTGTTGTTAATCTGCTTCTGTAAGTATCACACCTCTATGATTCTACTGTTTTCTCTTGTCATACTATACTCGTCACAGTACTATATCTCTGAAGCGCAAGGGAAGAGATAAAAGTTTATTCCATGCTGAAAGGTTAAAAAAATGTTGTGTTCTTTGTGTTCTAAATGTTCTTTATTTTTCACCATGGAATAAACCTTCACCTGTTCCTTTGCAGTCTACCCATGCTGATGCAGCTCCCTGCTCAAATGTGTATACCTCTAATGTTACTGTTATTGCTCCTACTACTCGTATAATACTTACTACAACTTAATCAATATACTTTTTTCTAAGTCATTTTAATTGTTTCTTGTTTTCTTCTTTTGTAATATCTAGCTATTTATTAATACATACTGTACCCATATATTGTTAATTCCACCACTGCTACTACTACTTCCTTTACCACTCCTTCAAATGCTGCTTCTACTAAAACCTCCACTGTTCCTGCCATAATCATATCCAGGGAGTTTCCTGAAGTAAACTGAGACATAGTGTTGGGGAGCACAGTTTTATTTTGGTAGGCTGTTTGCCAGGAGTTAAGTGAGTGGTCTGCCAGTAGCACCCTTTGAAGAGTCATTGTTGCAAACCCTGAGCCATAATTATGACTAATAATTTTACTAAGGCAAAACCCTTAGTGAATTATAACCTGTGTATTTAAAACATTGTGATTGTTTTTTACTTTTAAATTGTTGGGGATTTTCAGTTACCTCTAAAATAACTGATGTCAGACAAAGAACATATTAGTAGATAATAGGTTTATGTATGTAAATGATACCTTGGCTAGAACAAAATATTTATGTAATTTAAATGTTACCAAATGTGCTCAGGAATGTACACTCTCATGCTCTTACGAGTTGGGGGTGTGCATCGCCACATCCATAATTCTTCAGTCAGTTCTTAAACTAAATACAGATGCAGGCATTCAAAACAAGCGGGGTATGCTGTGGTACAATGCGGTGGGCATGTCGCAGTATACCGCAATTACCATATGCAAAGTAGATATGTTAATGTGTTAATAGTATCCGGAATCACCTTGTAAAACTGGCAGGTGGAGCTGTCACTTGAAAACACCCGGTTTCGAATCCCGATCACTGCTGAGGGACAATCTTTATTCAATTAAGAATTTAAGTTGTATACTCTTTAGACTTTTACATTTAAACTGTGTATTACAGCATGTTAATCATTATACATTACAAAGTTGGTATATTTTATGAAAGCAAGATTGCTCAGTTCGACAAAAGTACACAACCTACCACTATTAATAATGAATGACCTTGGACAAGCTGTAAACTCAAAGTATTACCCTGGTCCACATTCTTTGTAACCGTCTTTGTAAACGAAAATACTTTATTTTTTTATTGACCGTCTTTGTTAACGAAAATACTTTATTTTTTCATTAACAAAAAGTAACACCACAGCATTTTGTTTATCTAATCGCTTATTTGTTTCCAATCATACAAAGTAAGTCTTGAGAATGTCCGATTCACCATGCCTTTCACATGCTCATAAAAGGTATTAATTTAGGAACATAAACATATTATGTAAACTGTACTGTATATTGCTGGTTTTGGTAGGTTAAAGAAAAAGTACACACCAGTATTCTGTTTCTCCCTAAACATTTTAAGCATCAAAGTCTTACATGTGGTTATTTTGGAAAAGTTTTTACATGCTCCTTCTAACCATATTAAGATTATATACTTTGTGAAAAGTGATAGTCTTTTGACCTTTTCTGTGAATTTGCTTGTTATCGGCTTAAACAAACGCATACTTTTAGAATTTGATTAACAAGGAATATAATATGGAATCCCGTATCTAAACAAATTAATAACGATATAATTGTATTAATGTACTGTCTGGCGGAATAAACTTAAGAGTGAGTTAATGCGACACGGAATTATTAAAAATTATCACCTCTTTTTACACTTGTGAACAAATGAGAACATTCCACTTAGTGGGCGATGCATTGTTATCCCAATCACCTGCTAATTCATTTTACACCAAGGGAAGACAGGAGAATGTGATTGTACTGTATCTGTACGGAATGTGTGTTTCAATCAATACAGTAATTGATTAAAATCGCAAACGCGTGTTTAATTAAATGCCTTTTTTGATTCACAATCTGACAATGAAAACCCCAATGAAATGGGGTAAAGTTAGCTTGAAGTTCAAAAACGATTTTGGCACGCCTGTAGCATTTTCACGAAACCTCCTAAGGTTGTGAGAACACTTGCTTTGTGTATAAAGTACATTGATAATCTTTTCACAGCCTTCACTTTGTCGTTTTTATGCCATTTTTTTACCACGCACGAATATTCTAATGTCCATATCCTCACAAGGGAATCAGTGCGAATTTTAATACTAATTAAATGACCGTGGGCACTTTCCACCCCCTCTACATTCTCAGAATAAAATAGGCTAACCTTCTAATGAAAGACAGTCCACCTACCCCCTGCACGGACAGGAAAAGGGCCCAAAGGCACTTTAACTTAATATGGTCAGAAGGAGCACGTAAAAACGTTTCCGAAATAACCACGTAAGACTTTGATGCTTAAAATTTTTAGGGAGAAAGTGGAATGCTGGTGTGTATTTTTTTTTTTAAATGCCAATACTAGCCATTTACAGTTTGGTAACGTAGGAATTTCTATATTTATGTCTTTATTTAGTGGTTACAATAGTGACAAAGGCTAAACTTTTAGCTTCAGTAACGCGTACGCCGTATGGCATACATGTTTGTAATGACAATATAGTGTCAATAATATTTATTGCCAGTAATAATATCAGCGAACATAGTTTCATGGAGGTCTTGTTAAAGTTGGGGATTGAGGTAGATTGCCAGGTGAAAGGATTTGTAAATATATTTTGTTAAAGCAAGTCAGTTTTTTGCAACACATAAAAGACATTTTTCCAAGAAAGATCTGATGACGAGGAAGAAAAATCACCCGTTTTTAGTGCATAAAAAGTGGTTATTAACTATCGAAAGCTGCTTTTATAACTTATAACTTAACTTAAAATTATGCAATGTCTAAGTTAAGCTGATTGTACCCATCGGTCACGCTAATAAAGCATCTTGAATTGAATTGAATTGAGAGAGTGAGAGTGAGAGCAAGAGAGAGCAACACACAGGGGTCTATTTGGGTTTCCGAATATAGTCTTTCAGGGAATCCATACCATCTCTATTGGATTTAAATCTGGGGATTCAGCTGGAGTTTTCACCCAGTTCACTCCCTCTGCTGTAAGCATCGCCTTTGCTTCTGTGTGTTTTGGATCGTTGTTCTGAAAGAAACGGTGCCTTGATCCAAAGTGCTCCCTGATGTGTGGGGCAGCATGTTGTTTGACCACGCCTTTCTCGAATAATTCACAATCCATTATTCCTTCGAAAATAAGAAGTGGTCCCAGACCTCTTCTAGATATACCCCCCAGATGTGAACCTTCAGTGGATGTTTTGGGTTTTGCTTGTTCACATATCCCCCTTTTTATAAAACAACATGGTTGAAAACTGTTCCAGAGCCACTGCTGTTTCATCAGTAAAAAGAACATCATGAAATGCCTCTCCCTGTTCAATGCATTGGAAAAAAGAAAAGGAGCATAAAGCGTCTGATGGTCATAAACGATATTAATTTGGGAACAGCATTGGAGATATTTTTTTAACTGCACTGCATCGGAGAGAATACCATAGTGCGTTCTTTTTTTAACGGGCTTCCATAAGAATCAGTATAGCTTCTGGGAAATACATTTTTCCTGCATTAAAGTTTAACTCGTTCAGAGTGTCCTACATTACAAACTCCAAGCGTTTCATTTTGAGCTGAAGACCCTCACACCTGAAGAAGGATTCACAGCTGAAACGTTGCATGCTGACGCGGCTACCATCCAAAGTAAATGTATTGCAGTAAATGTTTATATCATTATATCTAATTTTTTATTTCTTTTTTAAAAATTAAAAAAATTGTTTGCCCAGCAAAAGAGGGGGGGGTTCTGCTCTCATTGACAGCTGACACTCCTCCATACACTCATGTGAAAAATGAATAACGCCAATGTAAACGTCATATTTACAATTTGTTGATAATAAAAATGTTACGTTCTCTAAAGCTTTCTCAGTCAAGTATGATAATTTACCTAGGGTGCTGTGTAGGCAGCAAAAGATCAGCTAAACTGGGAAGAAAACGCTTTCAGAGAAAATGTTTCAGATGTGAAGAGCACAGATCCCCAATGCAATTTCAACCAAACCTGTCCCCACACACCCTGCCCCCACTGTGATTAGAATATACACAAAGCACTGAAATCTTTAAGAGTTGATGTTCAGGTATTTTGCAGACATGTAATTAAGGACTGAGTTCTTAAAGCCTGAATTACGTACTATGCCTACGTCTGCGAACTACCTTTGCTAGTTAATGCTACTTCACTTTCTCGGGCGTGATTTTTTAGGCAAAAACCAGGCTAACAGGCTTGTTTTGTGATCTTCCTAAGATTGTTAAGCGCAGTGTCAAAATGTTTCCATATGAAAGGATTCATATGAAAGGCAGTGACGTCACCATCCTGAGGTGTGTGTGTGTGTGGCAGATCCGTGATGTGGTTGAGTGTGTATTGTGGTGAGCCTCTGATTGGGGGAAAAAAAACCCCACTGATCTGTTCTACATACCAGGAAAACAACAGAATATGATTTTTTCTATTTGAAACGTGTATTTTAAACGTTTAATTAAGAAGTAAAAACCTTACAGCGTACACAGATTCTAAGCTGATCCAGTGGAAGAAAAATCATCCATGTTCTGCGCATAAAAAGTGGTTATTAACTATGGAAACCTGTTTTTATAGCTTTTTAAGTCGTGTAATGTCTAAGCAGGATCACATCCTTATATACTGTTTTTGATTTATTTTTTAAGAATTAAAAAAAATCATATGCTCAACCTAATTTTAAAGACCTCTACTTGTGAAGGTTTTCACAGCCTGTACATAAAACTGTATACAAAATACTGCTGACAGCAGGAACATTGTTATTAATTATTATTAATTTCTTTAGATACGCCATTCCATATTATATTCCCTATTAATTCTAAAAGTATGCTTTTGTTTACTCCGGTATCGAGCATATTCGCAGAAAAGCTTAAAACTATCACTTTTCTCACAAAGTACTGTTTATAAACGTACAGTAAAATGGTCAGAAGAAGCACATAAAAACGTTTCCGAAATAACCACATGTAAGACATTGATGCTTAAAATGTTTAGGGAGAAATGGAATACTGGTGTGTATTTTTTCTTTAAACTACCAATACCAGCTATATACAGTTTACATAATATGTTTATGTTCCTAAATTAATATTGTTTATGACCTTCAGATGCGTTATGCTCCTCTTCTTTTTATGCTCAGCTACTAAAAATTCCCTTTAGTGGTAAAATTCCATATAAAGATTCAATACTAAGCAGATTAAAATGTGCACAGTAAAGAAATTAAATGATTAAATCTTTTCACTACCGACCAATGCACCACGAGTGCCCCTGCCAGTCATTTTGGCCAGCCAATCACATACCGCGGTACGGTACGGTGGCGCAAGCATAGTTGCCCATCGTACAGGTTTGTACTGTGCATTTTGAATGGCTGCATCTGTAACATTAATTTCCCTAAATCCCTAGCATCTACAATTTGAGAATCTACCTTTTGTGAAGCAGTTGAATCAGACTCCATCTGGAAATCTAGATATCCCATATCCAGTTACTAAGTTACTTCAACAACAGCTGCCTTTTCGAAATCCATGCTAGCTACCCCATGGGTTAAGGACACCTCGACACAATTTTCTCACTGCTTGCTCTCAGTTGTGTGATTGCAGTGTTTGAAACAAGCTCAAAGTGGTGTTTTCATATATGACAGTCCTGTGGTGTGCTTGTCTTTAAATATATACAAATGCCAGAAGCCTGTCTGTGCTGTTCATTCCAAGTGTGCCATTACAGGATTTGCTCATATAGCAATTATGTGGATGGCTGAGTACTCCAGCTGACTGCATTGGCTGTACTTGGCAGGTGATGAAAATCAGCACATTTTTTGTCTCCTGGGTCTGTAATGCAATGCAGTAGATCTCTGTGTCTGTTGCTTTTCTTTTTATTCTATAGCTAAGATGTGTTTTTTATTGTAGGCATGGAAGAGATGGTGCACACAGATCCTGTCAGCCCTCAGGTGAGCTGAGCCTAGTTAAAACCTTAGTTTAGCATGTCCACTTTCTGAGATACAGCATTCCACAACATTCCCTGGGGATCAATTTAACCAAATCCATCTCTATGTCAGAGGGAATAATTAACCAAGTGATAATTTTATGAATTGCTTGATAATATCGTTCAAAGAGAATAAAGGACAACGTGTCTCTCATCAAAAAATATTATTTTATAAAAGCAGAATAAAATCTAATAAAGCAAAGTGAAATTATGATAAAATCATTGTAAATCATAGATAGCAAAGTGTAAGTAAATCCAATAGGACAGAATTAACATTGGAGACTTTAATAAGGTACAGTAGGTTTGTGCCAGTATGTGATGCATAGTCCAGCCATTCTCACTGGATCTTAGGAGACCCCTGTGTGTTTTGGTTCTTAGTCACAGGCTAATACATTGATATTTTCTATTTAAGGACTTTATCATTTTGTTTCCAATTTCTTTTAATCTTTTAAAAAAATAGTTTTGTCTTAGTATCTGCATACCACTGCTAACTGATTTATAACCAGTTAGACTTAATCAGAAGGACAAACACTAACTCACTGTGGTCAGTACCTGATACAGTCTTTCTCAACTGTGTCTGTTTTAGCTGTGTCTGTTAATAGTTAATAGTCTTAATGACTATTAACAGCTGTTTAGTCAGAAATGAGAGAAAATTTGAGGAAAAGTTGAGGAAAGATTACATAAAGTTCTGTGCATTGACATTGTTGGAAATAACAGGGTATTTGTTAAACAGAAGTGGCTGTTTTGTAATTGGCTAGTCTTCAAAGGGGATAGATCCTGTGAGTTAGACCATAGATGATTGGTCCCTTGTACCAGTAAAACCTGTCGTTTATCAGGCACACTTGTATTTAGCGGCAGTGCTGAGTGCTTATTGGCTCCTGTATGAGGATTGCGTATGTTGATCATGACCTGTCTGCAGCAAGTGTCTTGGTTGGTAAATGTGTTGTTTTCACAGTTACCTGCATTCCTGCGATCCCCCAATAATCCATGGCAACCTGACCTGCGACACCATCTTCATTCAGCACAATGGGCTCATCAAGATTGGCTCAGGTATTCTTTGAAAGAAGAATGCTTAGGATGGTGCCATCCAAACCAATCTCTCTGCAATTAGAAAGGAAGCCTAGCATTTTTCAAAAGCATCCTTTAAACTGTTTTGGCTGGTATTCAAATGAATACCTACAGATAACATTCTTATGTAAATCCATTCCTTATGTTATCATATTATGTTATGATGCCTAGTGTGATTAAATGTTTAGATGAGCTCACTAGTAATCCTGGGCTTTGCAAAAACTTGCAACAATAATGAGTTCTGTTCTAAAACATTAGAATTTCTCATTGTCATATCCTAATAGTTCGTTTATTCCTTAAAAATAATCCTAGTATGAACTGGGATCAGTGTTATTATGCTTAATATTGTTTCATTTGATGAAGTTCATATCTTTAGCTCCTTTGTAGTGTGTGCTATGTACCATTAAGATTGTCCCACAAAATACTACTTCTGTCCAGTTGTCTCACAAGACACAGAAGCACCTCAGTTTCTGTGATACTTGTCTCTGTGTTGCCTTTTCTATTAAACCCGGTTGATGCATGAGAAAAATTTCGTCAAACAAATTGAAAGGAAATTGGATTTGGTAAGCATTTTTTACATTTCGGGCTCAAAAGTTATTGCATCAATTAGATAGTGGGACCTATTTCCTTTGGTAACGGTCCTGTGTAATCAATCTGCCTCTTTATGTCTTTTCTTTTAGTTGATAAGGTTTCCATGTTAAATTGTTCAGATTTCCCACAGATCTTCAACTTTTGTGTCTTGTATGAGAAAAGCATCACAAAGATCAGCTTTGGAAGACTCAATGTGTACCATTGTAACAAATAATAGCTTTATTTTTAATCAGATATTGCTTTGTATTGTTCAGTCCCCTCTTAGATTTGGCATGGATTTATAAGCCTGGAGTAAGGCTGCTCAGTGCACACATTTCAGTTAAGAGTGAAGCTCTGCAGTAGTCTGCAAGCTGACAAGACTGCAGTGGGAAGAGATAGTTGTCTTCCAATAATCCTCAGATATATGATCCACTCTGAAGGGGTGGACAGCAAGGACATCCAACGACAAGGAGAACAATGATAAAATGTAGCAACTTTCTTTTATTTTGCTATGTTAAAGCAAAAAGGAAGGAATTGGATTTTGAAATTAAATTGTAAACACATTTTCTCTGTGTTCTTGTCTTCCTCTGTGTGGCATGCTGGTGCTTAAACACAGTGTGGCATCGACTGTTTGTTAATGGTAAGTTTCAAGTTCTTTCCAGTTAAAATCCATTGTAACTGTCTGTGGAAAAGCAAGACCTCACAGCACTTCACAGTGAGCACTGCTACCGCAGGGCTGGGCTCAAGTATAGGAGAAGAGGTCTAAGTAACATGGACAGTGCAGCAAGTAATTTGACTAGGTGCTCATAGGAATGTCTAAGTCCCATAATACATCCTGATAAATATTGTAGTAGTTCAAGTAAGTAGCTGTGTCAGCATGCATAGGCTGCAAAGGAACAAGTAAAGGTGTATTCCATGCTAAGAAGAGAAGAAAAGAAACACAACGTTTCAGCTGTGGAGCCTTCTTCAGGCACTCAGTAGTCTAGAAAGAACGAAAGATCACAGAAGTTAAATGGAATTCTAAAAGTTAGACAATGGTATTTATTTTATTTTAAAAAACTGAGGATGATGTTTAATCAAGGCTTCAGTAGAAAGCCTTGTACTGAAGTTTAAAGATTTATATGAACATAGCAGGAGGTGTCTCAGTGGTGTAGTAGTTAGCATTGCTGCCTTGCAGCACATGGGCCCTGGGTTCGGCTCCTAGGGTTCTATTTGTGTGGGGTTTGTATGTTCTGCCCATGTTTGCATGGATTTCCTCCTACAGTACAGAGATATAATGATGGGTTAATTAACTTCTGGAAAAATTGGCTCTGCTTTGAGTGTATATGTCTGTCTTTGGGTATGTATGATCCTTGCGATGGACTGGCCTCCTGTCCAGGGTGTATCTTGCCTTTTGCAAGATACACACTAAATAGCCTGGGTAGCCTGGATAGGCTCCATCTCCCTGCTATCCTAAATTGGATGAAGTGGTTAGTAGATGGATGGATGGTGAATATCACTGAGAAGACAGACCAGAGCTTCTCACTCAGTGCTGTGCCTTTATTTCCCAGCATTCCCAGAGGCTGTACACGGACAAGTTCGTCACCATCGAGATGAACAAAGGAACCTGCACTTCTTTGCCCCAGAATATGGCTGTGAGTGTCTGTTGTTGCTCTTCTCTGTCTGTCTCTGTCAGCGACTGCCTGCTGCTTCTCTTTTGCTGTGACTGCTTGTGTTCATGCCTGTCTGTCGCTTTGCCTGAATCTATTTCCGATTATCATCATATTCCTCTCTCCGTATGCATGTCTGCAGGTGTCTGTCGATCTGTCTGTGTATTTACCTGCCTGCCTGAAGATCTGTCTCTAACGACAGACAAGAATGTCTATCTGACACTTCTCCTTTCCAGTCCAGTGGGTGGTGATTTATCACTCTCACTCTTCTCTTTGTGTTTCTGTATCTGTGCTCTGAGTCCTCTTTGTCTGTCCCTGGCTCCTCCACAGCCTCTGTCTCACTGTGATTGTTGTTCTCCTCCCAGTGGCTGAGGACGACTATGCAATTGACATCTTCTCCTTTGGAATCTGTGCCCTGGAGGTGAGACACAGGTTCCTGTGATCTGTACATACTGCACTAAGATCAGCTCTTCTATGTATAAATAGTGTACCAATACGTTTGTCTTCATTAATCACCTTTAAAGTCTCACCTCTTTAGGATATAATGAAATGAGATTGTGGAACACTGTTTCATACAATACAATGAAAGCACAAATATTAGCGTTTGCTCTGCTGTTGTTAGCATGTTTCACAACTGATTTGGTTGCTCAGTTACTGAAATCTTGATAAATGTAGCACCTCCAGTAACTGCTGACAAAATACTGAACACCTGTACCTGTGAATTCAAATGAAGTGTTTAAAACAAGCCTAACTGAATAGAAAGCTTGAGGACAGTGAATAATTTTTCCAAGAAAAGTTGAAGGAGGCTGAGATCATTTTTTGTGCTGTCTCAGGAAGGCCTATTTCATTCATTAAAACAAATTGCTAAAAACAGGACTTGTTCAGTGACGTCAAGGCTGAATGGGAAGTAAAGTGGACATGGGAAGGAATGTTCATTATTGTCCAATGTCCATTAAATCATAAAATAATAAATGACAATTTCCACCCACCCCCCCCAAAAAATGATTCTTTAGAAAATATATACTGTATATAAATGCCTTTTGGAAATTGTGACAATTGGCAATTGTTATTGACAATTGTTCTTGTGTCTTTTTATAATATATGTACGAGCTCATGTACGAGATTTCATGTGCCGTAAACATGCTGTGTAAACTTTGCTAAAGCAAGTGAAATACAAACAACACCCATAGTAAGCAACTGACCTACCCCTAAAAGAGTACCATTGATATTCCTGAATTTTAAACCTGTGCAGTATGTAATGTTACCTTGTTTTATTATTTGTGTGGTTCCCCGTTATTGGGGAGAAGCCTAGTATTTCTGGTTTTACAGACAAAATTCCACTTAAGCAAATTATCCATTTAATCCAAAGACTTTTAAAGCAAAGTCCATTAAAACAAGTGCTACTGTGCTGTATCTTGTAACACAGACATTTTGTGGTGAAATTTGTGAGCAGAAAGAGGAGTACAGTTCTATTTTATGTGACACAGGATGTGCACAGCTCAGTGCCAGCCTGCCACTGGTGTGTACGCTGGGAAAGACATAGAGGGCAGGTAACACATTTCTGCTGCTCTGCACAGACAGGCAGCTCCAGTGGTGCTCTGCATTGTCAGCTGAGCAATAAAGGCAGATCAGGCCTTTCCAGCAGTTGAGCCCTGGAGGGCAAATCCTGGGTTTTGGCCAGAGAGCAGCAAGTCACAATGGTTCAGGAACACCATCTGGGAGAGTCTGGAGAGGGCTATTGTCTGAGCTCTCATACATACAGGCGAGAGCACTGCTGTGTAATACCTCTGCTCTTTACTGACAGTATGCTTTAACTGTTATTACTTTGTAGGAATTTTATCTCTTGTCTGATTAAGTATTCATCTGAATTGTATTTCATCTTCCCAAAGTTGAAGTGTTCCCTGCGGCTTCCATGGGGCTTCTAGGGAAGATCTGTTTACCCTCCTGGTTAAAAAGCTAAACTAAGTTTCTTTTCTCTAGTGACAAATCTGTACAAAATCTGTACAAATGCAAGATGAGCTGGACTGTACATATTACCACTGACACGTTTAAGAGTATTTTAAATGTTTTTCTCAAGAGGAAATAAGACAGTAAAATTCAAAGGGCTTTGTGTTCATCCCTTAGATAGCAGTTCTTTTATTTGAATTTTATGGGAAAAACAATTTAATTTCTTCTATAGATACAGAACACCAGGTTTTAAATTAAAAGCTTCCCCGTTTGACTATAGCAAGCTCTAAGTTGGCACAGTTAATTGATAGATTTGTCAGTGTGGTGAATTGTCACATTTACAGGGAAACCCAGTTGTTATAATGGCAAGATTTGTGAGTCTGATACATCAGTGGCAGCTGTCACTGTGATGTTTGGTGAAGATCCTGTTAGTGGCACAACTTTTGCCTTGTAGATGGCTGTGTTGGAGATCCAGGCCAATGGAGATGCTGTGGTCCCCAAAGAGGCAATTACCCATGCTGGTCAGTCACTGGAAGATCCTCTGATGAGGGTGAGAGAGACTTTCCTTCAATGTTGACATTGTGTCACACGGATTGTTTGTCCCCTATTTAAAACTGCCTTCCCTCTCCATCTCTCTGTCTCTGCACCAGGAGTTTATCCAGTCCTGTGTGAGACATGATGCAAAGAAGCGCCCGACGGCGCATGACCTGCTGTTCCACAGGGTGCTGTTTGAGGTGCACTCCCTCAAACTGCTGGCTGCCCACTGCCTCATCAACAACCAGTGTGAGTGCCTCAGTGCAGTTCAACTGGCACTCCCACTTCATGCAGCTCTCCCAGCGTGTCCATGTGTCCTCTGCATCTTCACTGGTGAACCTAGACCGTTGAGACAGAGTTTTAACCTAGGCTGAAAGAAATGTTTTGAGTGGTAGTTTTTTAGGCTTTTGAATCCTCAAATGGTTCAAGCACCTTTTATCTCTAGGTCTATTTTTTTCAAACGTGTAACACTGATTCAACTTAGAAAATCTGTGATGAACATAATCAGCAGCCAGTTCAGCTCAAAGTGATACTGAAAGACCCATTATTGCTACACACTCCTCATGTACATGCAGGTGTCATCAACAGGTGTCTGTAAGGTTATGGTTGCCCATGTCTCTGCAGACCTGCTGCCAGAAAACTGCGTGGAGGAAAAGACTAAGTCATTTGATCCCAACGCTGTGATGGCCGAGATTCAGCACACGGACCGTCCGGGGGTGCAGTTGAGGTGAGGGGTCAACAAGAAAGACCAGATAGAAGCTGGAAGCTGGGTCTCTACTCATTTGAAGTCCTGGACTTCCCAGTCAGTTTCACTCTGGATCTGGTACAACAATCCATCCATTTTCTAACCCCTTCTGGGTTACAGAGGAGGCGGAGCCTATCCCAGACTGCAACAGGCACAAGGCATGATTTACTCTGGATGGGACACCACCCTATCACAGGGCACACACAGACACAAACACAGACAGACACACACACATTCACTCACACCTAGAGCCAATATTCCCAAAACCTATCAGTATGTTTTCGTACTGTTGGAGGAAGGCGGAACAATCGGAGAAAACCCACATAAAACAGGGAGAACATACAAGCTCTATGCAGATAGCTACCCAGGTCTAGAATCGAACCTAGGCTCCAGCACTACAAGGTAGGAAAATGCTAACCACTGTGTCACGATGCCGCCCGATGTGGTAAACATTAATTGTAGCATTGATTTAAAAAAGAGCTAGCATTATCATATTCCTGCTTTCTATTTTTGTTTCAATTACTGTCAGAAGATGTTCATATGCAATAGAACCTATTATGCATCCCTACCTCTTAAAGGGGAACTTTCTCACACTGGTAATGAAATTCATTGACAGTATCGCATAACTTTTTACAAATTTCAAATTGAGCACAAAATTGTGTACTTTGGGAAACTACTGTACAGTTGCCATGTTGTCAAAAAACCCTGGACTTGGCACAGACGAGGGCCAGAGTTTGCAAGAATTGTAATGTGAAGTAAAACGTCCTGTTTACTAGTCACTGTAATGATTAATGTAATGCAGACTTTTCACCACAGTAATGGCCCAACGTGATCTGCATGCCGAGTTAAGAAGTAACTTAGGAGCTGGGAGCTCCGTTGCCTCATTCTGAATAGCAGAAAGCTCCACATATCCAGAAAGTGTATCTATTTTGTGATGTAAATTGGAGGTTTTTGCGTATATTTAACTTTTATTGTGGCTTGAAATGCAACTATCAATGTCAATTCTTTCTAACCCTGAAATTTAAAAACTGAGTTCCCCTTTAATATGGTCAGTTTAAAATCTAAGACTGGTTCATTCACTGCCCCCTAGTGGAAGATGATGGGTCCTGGTGAAGCTAAGTTTGTCCAGGTTGGCAAGACAGCCAATCCCTCTGAGAACGTACCACACTGTAGAGCCAGTGATCTATCTTTGTTATGATAAGCAGGTTAAGAAGGACAATGTGGTGAGATTGACCATTTAAGAATAGGCTGTGTTGATGGCACTTCCTGATTTCTGCCCTGAACCACACAGAGAACCACACTGCAATACTGTTAAATCAAACAAGATCATGTTCACAAATGTGTTTTGTACACTGGTGTAGTGTGCTCTCTGAAGGCAACAGTTCTGTAGGGTTTGGGCATTTACTGGGACAATTATTAATTATAGCAGTAAATCACAAAATGATTCTTTTGATGGCCTTAGAATCCAACCATGCGATATAACTCAAACAACGCACACACACAGGTACTAATA